TTTGTTACTATTAAAAAATTATTACTAATAAAGATATGAGCAAGGTCTCACCTTAAAACCAAAAAAAAAAAAAAAAAGCATCAAGAATAAGAAGATGTCATTTATTCTGTTTATTCCTAATATAGTTAATCCAAAATTCTATTTCAACTTCATTATACCACTCTTTTTTATTAGTATGAATATATATTTCATCTGAAAAATCTTTATGTAAAATATTTTTAAATTTGAAGATCACAACTGGTAGAAGTTTTAAACTACTTGCTATATATCTAACAATAATAGTAAAACTATTTTTTTTATAACCAGTAGTTTATGATTCATATTGATTTATTGTAGTTAGATTTGAAAGATCAAAAGACAATAATGTTTTATCCATATTAGCAATATTGCTTAATGTATAATTATTTTCTTGTCATTTATATAATATATAACTTAAAAACTTTTTATGTTTTTTAATAGAATCTTTAGGCAAATGTTGAGAAATAGTAGTTTGTCTATGATTTGAAAATCTTTTTCAAAATAGGAATCCATCTAACCATTTTGTGAAATTATCAATATTTGAATATTGATCTTTATTTTTTATTGCGAAAGTTTAGCTCTTTTGGTTATCATATATTGTGATATAGCATAGCCTTTATCTTGAATACTAGCAATCCAATCAACAAGTTTTGTTTCAAGTTCTGGATAATTTGCATAATGCCCAGAATATAACTTTAAACTATAAGGTGCTGCATTTAACAATTTTGTTTTTTTGCAACCTATTCATGAACTTGTTTTTGTTAAATTTCAAATTTTTCTGCTATTTTATGCACTGAATTTCCTTATTCTTTATAAAAAATTACCATTAATTTTTCATGTACACACCAGAAATAGTATTGAAAAACTTTTTTATGTGCTCTTCGAATAGATGATGTTTGTCGAGTCATTATTATAAACTTATAAGTTAACATGTTTACTGTTTTATACACAATTTAATTAAAAATTAAATTTGTACAATGATATATTTATTACATATAATGATTATTTCCAAAATATTTATTAATAATTGAATCATACTTATGTCATATAAGGATACAAAAATTCAGCAGATTGACCAAAATTTAGGGTCAAAATAGGCCGGAAATGATAAATTTTTTCTAAATCACCCAAAACTTTACTAATCAAATAGTAGTCCATGTACTAAGCAAAGCATAAAATCTACTAAACACTATTATAAAAATATATACATTGATTACTGTAACCAAAAAGAAGAATGAAAACAAAATAAAATTATAAAAACTAATCAAGAAAATGTAATTGCACCAGAAAACCTTGGAGATTTTATTTTTAATGCTTTTCCGGAAGACTATAACTCTGATTATTTATTTGAGCAAAAAGTTTATAATCTGAATTCAGGACAACAAAAAAATTATTAAAGAAAACAAATAGTAACAAATGGCTCGTTAGTATTAATAAAAACTTTGAGCCATTGAATAAATTGAAGGAGAATTATAATCATTTTAAAAGGCAATGGAATATTCCAAACACTTAGAAAAACCATAATCACAATACTTTCCAGCTGTAATAAATATTAAGTTTATTGAATTTATTCGAAATAAATAAAACAATTAATTTATTACTTATCGTTATTATTTTGTTAGTCTATAATTTTTTTATTTGTATTTTTCGTTCAAGTTGCATGAATTTTTGGTGCTCGATATATATGTCACGTATGTTCGAAAATTTTTGGGTGGCGATTTTACTCTGATGATCTATTCCTAGTATACCCCGATCACTATATCAAGATCACGGGAGTATTAATTAATAATACCCTGACCGTATGTGAATAAGCGGAAACTC